AAATGTAATTCAAATTTTGTAGCATTTAAAAATAATTTCAAATAAATTTATCTCTATAATACAAAATATAATTTTAATTTTATTCTTTATAGAATTATAAAATATTTCTGAGCCTTTCAGGTACATTAGAATAATATTTTTAATTATGTGCATATTATTACAATAGTATTCAAACAGTTCTTGTACTTTCAATTGTTTAATAGTAATTATATAGAATATTGAAATATTTTTAAGCCATTTAAATCTCTCTGCTCAGTATCTAAAACTTGCACAAGGTATTACCAATAAGAACAAAGATTTCAGAAATATCATTTCACATTAAAAGCATAGAAACTGATTTAAAGATATGTACATCTTGCAAGTTAAAGTTAACCGCAATATCTCTTCGCGTGATCAGAATCGAATATCTACATCCTGAGCAGGCAGAAAGGGAAATCAGATATTTCATAGGCAGGATTGCATAGAAGGTTTAATATCTCCGCACAAAATCAAGACAAATAGTGAAACTGAATCGTCATTTCCTTTGTTCGTAATTAAATATAAACGCAGAGGAATACTTCTTCAAGTAATATGACATTACAAGCCTAATCCTCTTCTCAAGCATCGAAGAATAATACACAGTTATTATCTTCTCCAGATTAACGATGTTTTATTAAATCACTCCATTCACTTCCACTTCGGAATTGCAAATAATACAACTACCATATAATTACAAATAAAATTTCAGGAACCTCTCCATTCGAGTAAAGTATTGGCACACGAGTCACATCTTTTTCAAAGTAATTTCATATTATTAATATTTCAAATTTATTATTATGTTACTATTCCAAATTAAATAATTTAATATTAACGCAATTAACGAAATTAAGTAATATAATTATCATAAAATTCCAAATAACAATGACAAAGCCTCGACTTCTATATAAAATAATGTTACACAATTAATACTTTCCCTAAATTAATAATACAACTATCATATAATTACAAATAAAAATGCCAGGAACCTCTGCATTCGAGTAAAATAATAGCACACAGGTCACATCTTTTTCAAAATAATTTCATATTATTAATATTGCACGATCATTCTTATGTTACTATTCCAAATTAAGTAATTTAAAATTAACTAAATTAAGTAATATAATTATCATAAAATTCCAAAAGACAATTACAAAGCCTCTACTCCAATATAAAATATTATCGCACAATTAATACTTTCCCTAAACTAATACCACATTATTAACATCATGTTATAATTCCAAATACAAAGTTAAACATCGTGACAACTCTCATATTCAAAACAATAATGAACACCTTACATCTCGAGTAAAATTATAGCACACAATGAATCTCTGTTTCACATTCGCGATATTTTATTAACTCGTTCCATTCATTCTCACATCAAAATCACGAACATCAAGTTATATAACCTACCTTAAAATTCCACTCAATGATGACAGAGGCTCTCATCTCGTATGAAACGATAACACAAAACGAATCTCTTTTCCAAACGAACTATAAATTATAATCACATCGAGAATCACAAAAATTCTGATATTTTTATTTTCGTCATTTAGAATAATGCAGCAATATAGCAGAAAATGCATTCACTGAGGTTATAACTTCCACATGGAATTAAGAATAATTGATCTATTATTCATAGTAATAAAACTAATTCAATTTTTTTATTAATGGAATATATCATAGCGTTCAGTAACCAAGGAGAACGATGTAGAACATGATAAAATCCTAGATATATTTATTGCCAATTTATCATATACTCCAAATTATAATAAAGACATTGATCATTGCAAGTGACAGAACCTAGGAAGATAATAGTAATAGTAATACAATTATTCCTCCAAAAACACAAAACATAGTAATTTCAAGTAATTGCAAATCTGAAAATTACAATTTTCCACACGAAATTGAGTACAACTTTCCTTTCAGTAGTCTAGATGATGATTAGTCAAAAGAAGACTTTCTACCTAATTCTACTGGCACTTCAATGACAATGCAAACCTAACTTAACACTAGGTTTACGGACGCTATCTGTATACCTATTGCAAAGGACACCTGTCAAATTGACAGGTAGAAGAAACCACGTGCCTTTTTTTAACGATTAGTTCAATTTAAAAACAATGATATGTTATACTAACAGTCTTAACCCTTAACGTTCCAAGTGTGCCTCTCAGGTACCACCGATGGTGCCTGAATTATAATTAATATAAATATTGTAATCAAAATTGTACTACTTCTGAGATGATTGAAGATTGTTTTGAATGACTTTGATATTATTATTTATACGTCATTGTAGCATTTAAAATCTGACACTTGAAAACTTGCAAGTCGAAGTATGATGAGAATAAGTTGGAGTTGCCGGTCGATATTCATAATTAAAAATCGGAGCATTAATATAAGTTAACTAAATCTGTTACTATCGTATAATTGGAGCAACCCTTCCGTTAAATTGACGGGTCCCGTAAATCTAGTGTTAATCTCCATCCAGACTATTCAAGCTTCAACCTATGATCGATCATTCATAACAAACCTTTTTCGCATTGATTCACCAAGAACATATCTACCCACTGTCAAAGGTAGCAATTGAACTGCTAGTCCCCGGTTAGCGTAAACCCTGCAAATCCAGTGTGCAATTAGAATCGCAAATACGAAGTTAAGCAACGGTATGTTAAAATTCCACAGAACAATGACTCGGAACCACGACAGGGAACAAGGGACAAACGTGGAGCCGAGACAGAGATATACAGGCGATAGGTGCACGTCATGGCGTATCAAGGTGGCGTATCAAAAACGAAGAAAAAAGGAAAAGGGGACTCTGTACGAAACTTGGAGGATATTGCATGATGTAATAATTGTCCTGTGGGAGTGTCTGGAATAGAACTCGAATGCCACAATACGGGTGTTGCACACTATGGGAACTATTGTTACAGATTTTACAGTCTACTACTGTTCTTGCCTGGCCGCGAACTCCCACGTGGCTTTCACTCGTGTCCCCGCGGGTCCAAAAGTTCTGAGTGTTCCATTCTGTCGTCGCTGCTTCCTCTTCGCCACCGTGCTGCCATCTACGACCGAACTTCCGCTCTTTCTCGTCGCTTTTGCGCGCACTTTCATCATGATCCACGCGAAACCACTGCCTTTTTTTCGTGTCCTATTCTTTTCCACTCGTTGGTGCGCGATTGAAATGTTAAAATGCTCCACGGATAATTAGTAATGGTAAAAAGAATTGCGCTAGATAGGGAAGCGAGAGGATGAGAGATTCGTTGGACTTCTCAGGTGGATTTCAGGTTGATCTGTGGGTTTCGAGAATCAGGATGCAGGCTTAATGGAGAATTAAAGATAGCTTTTGATGGAGTTGCGCGAGATGAGAGTAATTACGTTAGCAAAATTTATAACCCATTGTTATAGGGGTATTTATCATGCGCCATGCTGCTAATGGTTTAAGCAGGTATTGTGTGTAGTATTTTGTAAAGAGAAAATGCGCGAAGACGAAGTGGAAATGGAAAGAATTATACGATCACTGTGAGTTAATTGCATGTAAATTGTAGGGAATTGAAGTGCAGATTGGTGTTGAAATGTTTTATGGATATTGTCGCGGGGAAAATGGATCGTAACGAAGGTTGAATGCTCGTTTGGGGTTTTAATTGCGGTAGGATCGTTGAAGAAACTAAGTTTACGAACTTCAAAGTTGTATCCTGTATTTATCGTTGAAAAAGGATTCTTAAGAAATTTAATAATATTGATTAATATTATTTGTAAGATTGTGCTATTTATTTGGGCATAGCAATAATTTTGTAAATATTATACGAATCCCAGTATAAGATTTATATTTTTCTAATGACAGCAAAATAAATTTGATCTTAAGAAAAAGATGTATTTGATCCTCTTAAATTAGGGGTTAGTATTAATTAATTACAAGCTTGTGTAGTTATTTATTTGAAATTCAATTGAAAGTTAAAAATTGAATTGGTGTTAATAATAAAATATATATGTTAATTACAATGTATGGTTAATTAGAACTCATGAAAATTGTGTAGATAAATTATATAAAAATTATATGAATATATTTGTAAAATTCGTGTGAAGGTATGTATACAAATTCTGTAAAAGTATCTGTAAAAATGATGTAAAAATATCTACAAATGTTAACTAAGGATATATATACAAGAATTATTATATGCAAATATTATCTGTAAAAATTGCATTATATAGATATACGTACACACATTGTATAAAAATATTTACGAACATTAAATAAAGATATATAGACATCAGAAATATCATACTGAAATATTATGTATAAAAATTGCATTATATATATATACAAATTGCACGAGACTATCTACAATATGAGAACGATGTAAAAACACATATATAAGTTATAGGAAAACATTTATCAAAATTAAATAAAAATATGTATATGTATTACATGAAGACATCCACAAAAATTGTACACAAATATACACATATAAATTGCATTAGTGAAAGTAATAATATATAAAATTGTCTATAAAAATAATATAAAAGTATATACAAAAATTGCACAAGAATATTTAAAAAATTCTGCATATAGGAATCCCTTAAAGAGTCAGAAAAATTCTGCAATTTTCATTTAGAACCAATATCCTTAAATCGACTCAACCTGAATAACAAAATTCACGCGCAGAACAGAAAGCTCGATGCCGAGTGAATGAAAGTTGCACAATTTCCAATTCCGGAGG